AAAGAGTCTTTTGGAAGATCTGGGTCCCTGGAGCACTTCGAAGTTTCGCGTTTTCTGCCCCGCCATTACAAAGCCAACTGCTCCGCTTTGGGCCACGCCGACATCGCTCTGCACAAATTTCAGCAATTTTTGCCGTGCACTTTCCATCCTGTGCGCATGCCCACGTGCGACGGCGCCGGCCTTTTTAGCTCCGCAGACCACGCGGCCAATAATGTCTCCAGTAAAGCCCAGCCCTTGGCCAAGCTTGCGCTGGATATGAGCAAGTACCTCAAAACACAAGGTCTAGAATCCGTCATCGCCCAGCACCTCGCCGAGGCAAAGGAGGGAGCACCCCTCTCTGACTACCACGGGACTGTGCTAGCCGAGCTGGTCCGTCTGCACCTTGCACCCAAAGTGCCCTGCCAATCTTTCTTTTCAGTGGCTCCAGGCCAGCCTTTCCGCCTGCAAGTTCTCAAGAGCATAGCAGTGGCCCTGCAAGACAGGGACAAAGACCTGCCCGACCTCCTCGCGGAAGGTGTCCCCACTGGAGCCTTCGAACCGCTGCCCAGCAGCCACCAATGGGTCCAGGTCCAGCACTCTTTGGACTCCGACGCAGATTTCTCTGGTCCCGCACTGGAGCACTGCAGGGAACTGGCTCGCCGCAGAACAGGAGCCGGCACTGCTGGACGAGCTCATACAAAAGGAAATAGAAAACGGTTGGGTGCAGGAGTTCGAGGGCTCTGCAGAAGAGGCGGCCAAGCACTGGCACTTGGGCACTGCCATAGGTAAGCTCAACGTGGTCACCGCTGAAGGCAAAGACCCCCGCCTAGTCCTTGATAGCACAGTGTGCGGCCTTAACCCGGCAGTGCACCTCCCCGAGAGGGTCGCTATGCCCTCAGCTTCAGATGTGCAACGCACCTTTCTCGCCGAGGATGCTTTCGCTCAGTGGATCGCACTGTCGCTCGACTTCAAGGCCGCGCACAAATGCGTCAAAGTTAGGCAAAGCGACCAGGGCACCCTGCTCTTCAGGCACCGCGGGCGCCTTTACTACTACATGGTCTGCCACTTCGGTGCACGCTTTAGCGCCTACTGGTGGCAACGCACAGGAAGTCTCATACTGCGCTGCGTGCACGCTCTGCTTGACCGGCACCCTCACAAAGCATGGCTTTACGTAGACGACTTGCTCGTTCTGCTTCGAACTTCCCACTCGCACTCGGGCGCTGCCCTCATCGTCGCCCTTCTCGCGGCGATCAGGGCGCCCATCAGCTGGAAAAAGGCACAGTTCTCTACTCAGGCCACGTGGTGCGGCTGGAAGTTTTGCACTTCGACGGAGACGGTCGAACTCATGCCGCACAAGCTCGCCAAGCTTCGGGAACAACTTAACAACTTGCACCGGCTCAGCAAAATTCCCCGCAAGTCCTTGGAAGCCGTGCTCGGCCTCCTAAATTGGGCCACTACCATGAGCAAGCACCTCCGACCCTTCATGGCTCCGCTTTACAAAGACCTGCACAGCGCCAAAGGTACTCTGCACCGCATCGCCCCGGCGGTCTGGCAGCAGTTCTACGACGCCCTCGACAGCTCAGCCAGGCTAGCTCGGACGCCCGCCGGTTCTTGGTTGCCACGCAATGCACAGCTACTGGAAGTGGGCTCTCTTAAAATCAGTTCTAAGCAAGACGTGCCTCGCGTGCCGCCCTCACATAAGCACCAGTGGGTCAGACTGGCCGACCCCACCCGCCAAGAAATCCACCTCCGCTCAGAAAGCAAGTTCGTATTGCAATGGTTGAGTCTCTGCTTTGCTCACGAACAGCCTCGCTCTCTGAGGTCGGCCCCGCGCATGCACTGCCTCAGTGCCGCAGACGCCTTTGCGGACAAGGATCGCGTGGGCATAGGTGGCTGGCTCAGCACTGCACAGCATTTCATCTGGTACAGTGAAATCTTCACCGCGGAGCAAGTCCGCGCTGAGTGGCCCCAGCTTACAGGCAGTCTACAACCTTACATAGGCTGCTTCGAAACCCTAGCACAGCTAGCCCTGGCTCAGTGCTCCTGGCAACTGCTGCGTGCTCGGCATGTGCGTTTTGTGCTGCCTACTGCCAGCGACAATACCAGCGCTGAGGCCGGTTTGAATAAGCTCTTCAGCACCGCCGAACCGCTCGGCACCTTCCTGCGCCTCGCCGCTACGTGGGCCCACTTGCACCGCGTGCAGTTTCAAGTCGAGCACCTTGCAGGAGAGAAGAACACTTGGGCCGATGCCCTCAGCAGAGGTCGCATCGCTTTCATTAAGCATCGAAGCGCCGAACGCACTCGGGTCTCGCTGACTCAACTTGCTTCCGCTTCGCACAGCGTCTCCCTGCACGGTGCTGCTACCGCATGGCCCGTGCTGTTGCAAGATGCTACTAAAGCCATGCTGCGATAGAAAAGTGATCATGTTGACAGCCTCGCTAGGCGCTGGCTGCGCTGCCTGCACAGACCTGCGGTCTTTCCTTCAGCCTCCTGCTGCCCTGCCAGGT